TTCAACAAGTTTCCAAACACTAGATTGGGAAAGAGAGGAACTACAAGTTTACAGTGCCTTCCTCAGAGGCATGTTACAATGACCCCAAGAAGGCCTCACAGATACATTACAGTAATTGAAATTTACAATATCTAAGTATTCTGTAATATCATGGAATCAATTATTAATCACTCATATGATTACAGACCAAATTGGACTCCACTCAGTCCAATTACCATCATTAACAATAGGGTTAGCATTTACCTTTGACAGGGCTGAGATACATGTCCAGATACACTGTACCGAACATCCATGATGTTGATGAGTGTTTCGCTGTCATTTGCCTCATAAAAGGGAGCACGACCACACACTAACATAAAAAGAATGACTCCAAGGCTCCAAACATCTAAGACAGACAAAATTTGAATGAAATCATTCATTTAGGATTAAAAGTTTATCATTAATTCATCATTTAACAATTTCCCTGTTATTAGAGAGAAACCTGTAATAACTACTGTATTTTCAAAATTTTGGCTTAAAGGAAGGGCACTTATTGGGTGGAGAGTACTTATGCAATGGGAGGGGGTGCTTATTCATTTTCAACTGTTTTCTTCAAACACACCCCAATAACTTGATTATTGTAGAAATTACTGGTCCTTATAGACTACACTGCTCATTGCCCAAACATGTTCTATTTACTCCAGGGAAGTTAACCCTTTAACCCCCATGAGTGACCAAGACAGAATTTCTCCTTACAATATCAATACAATATCAACCAAGTAAGTGATGAGAATAACGAAAAATACAAATTTGGGGATCATAAGTTGATCCAATACCAAGCACATGGAGATAGAAGTAACTAGAAGTGACTTGACACACACAAAAAAGAACCATTTTCCTGTAGTGATTCCATTGTAGTTAAAACTCAAAAAGTTATATATAAAGTAGCAACAGAAACAGATTTTCCCCGTTTCCCCAGGAAATATGGTATTTTAACTAAGATTCAATGAGCAATTCCTCTTCCTGACTGTATTACACAACCTTGTAAATTAGACAGGAGAATTTGGTGTCACATCAAGATGATACCCTCTAACACTTGAGCATATCTATTTTCATCACCTCTTTAAACTATAACTTATCAAATTGTGAGAAGTTACATGTTAATACCTACAAGGAAATTTGTAATTAAGGAAAGAATTCCTAAGCAGTTATATGGTAAATCTGTATAACTATCAGCTATAAACATAAGAACCTTTTTCTAAATCCACCATAATGATTGCCACAATTTTTTCTTCCCAACTACAATGATCACCACAGGGCTATAATAATAATAATGTAATCTGACCATTGGGATTTCTCTAAACTGGGACTGAAACTTGTCATTTTTCATCAATCAAGAAACTACAGTTTATTATGAAATAAATTTCAGAATTGTACCATATCCCTCCACAGGAAAGAAGAACCCTCTGAAATGTGCCCTGCGTCCAACATGTGGCTTCATAGTTCAGTTGGTAATAGCTCCCAGGTAATATCTGGGAAACACAGGTTCCAATCTCATCAAAACCTGAATTTTCATCAGGCTCCTTTCCTGTGAGGATCATGGCTTTACTTAATCAAGAATCTCCTGCACTTAAGACTTGACAAGTTATAAAGAAACATCTGGCCGCTGGGTAAGCAATTATTACATTGAGCTTTAACTCGCTGAAACCATACAACAGAGCAAACAAACTATGATGATTTAATATCAGTGTATATCAATACTCAGAACCAGAAGTGACAAGAAAACATGCAAGCATGATCATGAATATCAGTTTTAGCCTCTATGAGAAAGTTCCTTGGTAAGGAACATGACAAAGGTTGTAATGATTCTCCCTTTTACAAATTTAATTGTCAGAAAGTCTCTGAATAGGTCATCAACACTTCTAAATAATCCAGACACAATCTTAATTATTACTGCTAAGAGTCAACAATTGCTTTCAAATACCTTTGTAGTGTAAACATTTTATGAATTTATACATTAGGTGCAGAGCTATCTTGAAAAATTTGATGAAATTGCAAACGATTATCACAAATTAAAATAGAGCAGTTTCAAATTGAGAATGTGTTCATTCAAAATTGTAATCTTCGATACCTAATGGATGTATAAATAACACGAAACCGACCAAAAAAACTGAAACAAAAAGTGTTATTAAAATGCTATAACTAAACATGTTAACCTTTCGCTCCTTAATATGAATGAAAAATTAAATTTATGTGGAGACAGAGGCTTATTCTAATTATTGTTATTATTCTTTTTCCTCTGGCCAGGTGCTGATTCCGGCGGTGATCAAAATTCTGACACAAGATTAAATATCACTCGATATTGTAATGTAATTCTCAACTAAAGTAATTTCAAAAATTATTTTAAGCATGACTTAGCAATTGAAACTTCATACTGGCCAATCAAATACTATACACTTTCCACACAATTACTCAGTAAAATTCGAATGCTCACCTCCTACTGAGAAGGAGCAGTAAAACTGAGTTAAGCTGAAAATTTGAAGTGTGTGAATTCATTACACCGCATTTTAATGCACATCAAAAGAGGTAAATATATCCAGACACAAGTAACGTGCTTTTCGAATGTCCTTCATAATTTGACTTAGAATGAAACTATTTCCCATGGATGGACATAGGAGAATCGCAAAGACTACCATCATTAATTGGACACCGAAAAAATCTTGAAGCCGCTTCGAAATCAAACAAAATTGTACAATTTCCTGCTACATGTTGAAAGCCTCTATCAACTTGACTCTGGAACAGAGAGGCATGTTATTAGATGAAACATGTGAAGACGAACCTTATTCATTAAGATTAACGCAAGGTAAAAAACCGCTAGGAAATGAGCACGCAATGTTCGAGGAAAGCTTTTTATCCCACGGAGATGATAGTAATAATGATAAAAAATACTCACCTACTGCTGGAGCATCGTACGAATCTCCCAGTAGAACTTCGGGGGCGGAATACGCTAACGATCCACACGAAGTATCAAGCTTTTGACCGGGAGAGAACTTATTCGAAAGACCAAAATCCGTTAGCTTAGCAACATCCAAACTCTTAAAGAATATCACATTTTCAAGCTTTAAATCCCGATGTACAATGTGCAGTTTGTGGCAATAGTCAATGGCGAGAACAATTTGTTGAAAATAATGGCGAGCTTTGTCTTCGGAGAGGCCTTGTTCGTGGTTCATGATATATTCATACATATCCCCACCATCGCCCAGTTCCTGAACAAGGTACAGTTTGGTTTGCGTATCGATGACTTCGTACAATCGGACCACATTTGGATGTTGGACGAGTTTCATGCATCGAACCTCCTTGACGAGATGTGCTCTAGAGATCTCATCGAGTTTTGTTTTATCGATCACTTTCACAGCAACTCGTTCTCCCGTAAAAACGTGTCTCGCAACTTTGACAACAGCAAAGTGACCGCATCCTAGCGTTTCTTGCAAGTCGTATAATCCAGCGATTTGTCCATCTTTCAAGGTTGAATTGAAGGAGTGTTTCGCCATGTTCTGATATTAAACATTATGGATCGGCCATTTCGACTGTACGCTGTTGATGCAAACAATGTTGAGAACAGACAATGGAAACGTCAGTTTACATCACAGAGCCAATCAGAACACAAGGAATTGCGAAAGGCAGGAATTGGAACGATCGATCGGAATCGAATCTTCCCTAAGAGCGCCAAGAAATGTCATAGAAAGCAGGTTATCAAATAATATGGCAAATATTATTACGCATTCAAACATTTTTAGTAACAAAATGAAAATTCCAAAATTTAATGTAGAAACAGTACTAGAACAGTGCTTTTTTTTAAACGCAGAACTAAAATGGTCTTTGATTGCTCCTTAAAAAATTGCAGATTGACAGAAACGTTATTTTGAAGTTTACAGATATGAAATTAAAATAAAATTTCACTCTTTCCCCTCCGAAGTTAAAATATTTTAAATCTGGCAATCAAGAGAAAATCCGGGACTATTTTTTACAGCTGCAGCTGTACGTGGGAATCAGTTGTATGTTTGCGTGCATGAAATAAATCATTTCGTTTTCTATGTTTACATTCGTCTATATCATGGAAAATCAAAGTATTTGTTGAAATTTTTATGAAATTAAATCAAGGCTTGCGGTGTATATTTATCGATGAAAAATATCCTAAGGGTGCATTATTAACAAGTTTATTCTGAAAAAATGAACTTGGTAAGTGATCGGCGTACAATACACTGAGCCGAGGACACTTCATCCCCCAACCCACTCCTCCATGAAAAATAATAGTCACGACAACGATGGTGATGATAATGAAAACGCAAAAAAGTAGAGAAGAATTTACATGAACATAAGCATAAGCATGAACATAGTATTGTCACTGGATTGTAAGAAAATGGTCGGAGATGAAATTACTGTAGCGATGACGAAACTCTATAAACACAGGCTGGGCTCCGATTGGACGGTCTGTTACCATCTTAAAGAGGCTGCCCGCGATGAAATTTGATGATGTTAACTCTAATGGTGATACAATGAAGCTATGAGAACGAAAATTACGTTTATGATGCACTCTCGTACATAGCTCTTCTTGTGTGGCTGAATATCTGATGACGTAGAGAATGATGATGATGACGATGATAATAGTGATGATTGAGTCGGGTTAGACTCACACTCAAGAAACTGGAAGAATCAATCAAGGCAGCCCATTTGCCGGAAATTCAGTTATGGTTAAACATTCGAAAGGTAAGAGAGCTCGACTTTACCGATGTCCGGGAAATATACCCAGAACCATATAATAGAGTGGCGTTAATTGAGGATTCAGTCTCTGTATCGGTTTACACCCACAATTTACACTTGATTTCTCACGGGGACCTCCGAAAGGCGACATGCTTCTACCTGTCTGTTGAAACTGGTTCACGCCATTTGAACTCTGTGAAAAGCAGGTTTACAATACAAACATTGTTTCATGGCATAAATGCTGACCTTACCATATTTGTCACGGCTGGATGACTGTGCGTTTTCTATCATTACATAATCTTTACCATCTTGTATTTCTGAAATCTTAATGCTGCTGTTCATTAGTTGTGAGTATTTTCCGAGCTCCTACTTGCTGACAGCTAAAAATTTTCAACAAATGTTTGATTGATGGACAGTCGACCAAAAATTACACTCTCCGATTTATTCCACGATTTCTCCTCATTTTTCGTCGTCTACTTCTTTCTCAAAGCGGGAGGTTCTTGCTTGATGTCTAATATCTAATTAGTTGTTGTAAAATTCGTTACTTCTCGGAAAATTTCATTGCTGTTTCAGTTTCGTGATAACTCGTACTTTGGTCGGGCAGGTTCCCGCCATCGAAATTACTGAAATAGATATGACACTTGTTTGGTGTGGCCTTACTGTCTCAGCCAATCAAAACCAAGACCACCTCAATATCGTCACTCGTAGCATTGTGTTACAGCCAATCAAATCCTTTGTTTTTCACAAATACCGATTCCACGTGCTCAAAGACAGCGTTGAAGTTCCTTTCAAACGCTAAACAATAACACAACGTTGTGTCAGCAGTTCACATTTGTGTACGCAGAAGTTGGACGCACAGTTCCTCCTTTTTTTCTCCCCTCTGAACGGTAAAAAAACTATGCCTTCAACGAAAAACTACTACCACGGAAGTCTATGGGTGAAAAAAGGAGAAAACGATGGAATGGAGTCGGTGATTTCAGATTTTCGAGACCTGCTTCAAGTCAACCAGAAAATCGATGCGGAAGAAATGAGATATGGTGATATGTTAGACTGTGAGCGTCCTTCGGTGGACGATTCAGAAATAACCCTGCGAGCCTGCATATGTCCTACGGCAGATCCATTGAGGAAGTCTGCGGCTTCCTCTTCGTCCTACAATTTACTGGTTGAGCTCATCGAGCAGGGAAATTTGATAAAAGAAGCCGTTCGGAGGTTGAATACCTCTCCCTGTCGGAGTAAACAGTTGAAACGGCTCGACCGCTGCAGATAACTGGAAATCACTGGGGTCACAGGACACGCCGACGATACAAGTTATACTAAAAATGAGACGTATTTTGAAGCATTTGAATAGCATTTTCCATCTCCGATCTACCACAAAAAGTCGCATTTCTCGGAAAACTGAGTTTTGCGGTTTGCAGACTGCTTTTGTTTACACTTTGAATGCTCTAGCGAACGAAGTTACGTATTACGTAAAAACATTTGAGCAGTCTGGTACATTTGTTATCCTGATAAACATTTATGACGGAACTTTCATTTGGAATCGATGGAAAGCGAGCAAGACAATCGTATTTGAACTATTACGTGCACAGCGGCAAGATTCAGTGAATGTCGCCATTCATTCTCTGCGCAGACCGGTTTCCTGCATATTAATAAGTGGTGTTGAACAAATAAACAATACGTTAAACAGTCAAGTAAGGTTTCGTCCCGAACAGAGTACTACGGATATATCAGTCGCGAAGAATTATATTTAATAAGAACTGATTATTACATTTTGTTGTGGTGTTCTCTCAGTGACTTGGTTTAGGACAAACCGTGTAAATGTCTCAGAAAGAATTCATGGAACAGTAATGTGCGTCACAAATAAAATCGAGTAGGCTTAATCAGTTTCAAGCTGTTTTCTCTTAACCTTTAAACGTATTAGTTGGAGAATAATAAACAAACAGTTTATTGCGGTCATGAAACGAACTTAAGATCCATAAATACCACACGGATTGAACTTCCGTGAGATAAGAACACTGTCAGACATTAAATTTTTTATGTGGAACAGTCATGATGGATTAGCACAATATAACATTCCATGGACATCTGAGGCCGAAACGTACTCCTTCTCAGAGCAATGGTATTTTTCTAGTTTGAAGACTGATTTCATATCCCTTGAGGTATATGACCAGAGTTATTGTAAACACTATAATGTTTTTCCTTAATAGTAGCAAAAAGAGATGCCTGAGGCTTAAGGCATCAACCAACAACAAACAATAATCAGCTCATTTACTGAACTAGAAATTTTCTGGCCTAAAACAAGATCAGTGGTTGCTCTTGGACTGAGGCTCAGACCCTCAATAACTTGATGCAATGCTTAACGAAACCCAGAAAATTATTCATATATTTACTGGTGAGTTAGTGGGATAATCATGATTTGCAGTTATTAAACCAAGTTTAAAAGGGTATGTATATGTTCCCTGACCAGGGAACAAAGGCATTCAGGGCTATTTCCATTTGTTTCAACACTTTTGAATCTACAAGAATTATCAAACTAGCTGATTTTGTCATTAGAGACAATTTCTCCAAGAGAAAATTTCCTTGTAAAATTGAATTTAGGGCAAGGATCAGTAGAAAGTGTTTATTTTCCTTTCCCTCCCCTCCTGAGTCGTGAGTTTTACTCGTACAAAGAAAACTGGGCTCGAGTAGGATGACTGCAAGCAAAGATGGCGGAAAATTTCTGCCAGAACTTGTCGTGTTTGACTTAGGTGAGTGTTTTTTCTCGTCTCCTTCTGTTTAAAATTATTGTCAAACAAATCTAGTTATGTCTAACAATTTAAGGGTGTAGACAAATGGGCACCCACTTGTAGTCTGTGCGTTAGTCTGGCAGTCTGTAGTATTAAAGACGTTTGTTCTGTTCGAAATACCAATATCACAATTTTTGAAGTTAGAACTATCAGTCTCATTCAAGTTCTTGTTTTGTGAAATGAAGAAATGTGATCATAGTTTTAAAATTTTTAATAAGAGCGACTTCACTGTGATAAGAACAGCACTAAATTAAGAGTCTCAACGTAAGAAAGAAATATATTGAAAACAAATTCAGCGTGTCAGTTATCTTGTTTCAAGTGTCCTTCAAATGAGAAATTTCAATTATTTTAACATTCTTTTCTCTAATCAAGAAATTAATTACAAGAAACTCGGGTCGATAAAAACGTACTGAAAGTGAGAAACAAGTTCTCTGAATGAAGAAATCAGATTTTAGACTAAACATTGGCTGGCAGGAGTTAAACTGACATGAACTGTTACCCAGCGAACCACACGCATTGAATCATGGCCAGTATGACAATTAAACCTGTAATATTTATTTAGACTGTGGAGCTCACAAGTGTTTGATTTTACATATGGGATGATACAATATTTCCTGTGACTGAATAATTGCAAACAAGTTATTGAAATGTGCTGGAAAGGGTTTTGCTTATGGCTTAATATTTTGTAACAGATTTTACAGTGTGGCCATTTTGGGCTGACACTCATGTTTCTCCACCTTTTACAAAAAAGAGGTGAGTGTTATGTAATAGTAGGTATGCTATACTATTCTTAAGCCTTTAACCCTTAAGAGTGACTGTCATCTAATTTCTCCTTACATTCTCACCCCTGAATCACACATCAAGGTCATGAGAATAATGGAAATGATCACCAACTGAAGAAACTCTTGATTGTTTGTAATATTATCTTTTGATGGTTTATGGATATTTTCTAGAACATCACATAGTCATCTCAACCGTACTTCTGGCTTCCTTGGTAAATTTTTTAAGACGGTTTGGTCAACCATGAATTATTAATTTCTGTTTACGTCATTTGCTTTAAAGTAATGGCTCAATACAGGACAGTGGTGGAAACAAGGTGAAACTGTACAATGACATGTTGGAAATTCTGAAGCATCTCAGCTCTAAAGGAGTGTGTCTTGCTGCAGCTTCTAGGTGAAGATTATATTAAGTTTTGAAGGTTACAAAATTTTAACTTAACCCTTTGCCTCCTGGCAGTGACCAAAAATAAAATAGAATTTCTCCTAAATATATTAGGTTTCATACAACAAAGATCAAGAGAATATAAGGAAACATACATCAACAAGGGTTATTTTTTATTTAAGTCCAAGCTTAATTTACAGGAGATGTGTGTTAATTTAGTGCACTTAGAGCTGTTAGTGCACCACTGAAAATGTATTTTATGCCACCAATCACATTACTGACCTCTTGTGAAACATGAGCACTTTTTCAGAGGCATTAAAAAGTTATGCTCTTGAGTTGTGGTGTATTATCTATGCTTTCAGCTGTCTAGTAGCATTATTGTTGATAGCAGCATAAAACAAAACAGAAATTTTGTTTAACAGTTATATACAACATTCACTTTTAAGCCAACATGTACGAGATCCTTCCCCCCTTAAAGATTGATTGACCAATTTGATACTCTCCCCTCTTCCCTTCAATAACAAATTAAGAGTGGTGCTTTATAATTTTTGTGTGACCCTTATCTGGATTATCACCACTTTTGTTCTGGGATAGGAAACTTGGGTCCAAGGTAGCTAAAGTCTTTGGTGTTACAGGCGTCTCTTAGCTTTAGCATTTAACCCTTTAACTCCCAAGATCTCATTAGTAATTCTCCTTACTGTCTGCTATACAATCATTCTGATGTTGCATCTGAAAATTTGGTATTGGATCAAATAAAAATCCCCTAATTATACTTTTCTTGGTTCTCATTACTTGTCTCCTTGATTTTGTATTGATACTGTAGGGGGAAATTCTGTCTTGGTCACTCATGGGAGTTAAAGGGTTAAGTTATTCATATGTAGACAAATAATACTGACAATATCCCGAATGAACTATTTTGTCCTACAGAACTGAAGATCCTCCCACAGCCCAGGAATTATTGAGAATTCTTGACATAGACCAGTATTTTTCCTACAAGGAGATATATCCTGGGTCAAAACTTGCTCATTTTAAAAGGTTGGTTTGTAAATCAGTAATTTTATTTTCCACCAGGGTTTATCCAGCAGCGCAATGCAAAATTAAAGTGCATGTTGCTGTAAGTGATGTTCATGGAAGTGTTCAAACTCAAGTCCGTATTTTTGTGAGAAGAAAGGGGTTCACATAAAAATAGTCTGTACTGTTTTTTTTTCATTTTTACCAGATTTGTAGAGGCTAGTGGAATTGCATACTCTAATATGCTCTTCTTTGATGATGAAGAAAGGAATATTCATGAAGTTAGCAGATTAGGTAAGCAATTATTTGGTACTTGTGGAAGAAAAATATACCCAAATTATGGCCCAGTTGGGTGGCACAATCTTCTTTGAGACCAAGGGAGGGTTAAAAATTTCTTTGTATGAAAACCTACCAGTAAATCTCACTTTTTGAGCTAATTACAGTTTCCATAACAACTAATGACCTGCATTTTTGCTACTTTCACTAAATTGGATGTTGCTTCATAACAGGTTACCTGCAAAATTTAGCCTGGAATGATTTCCAAAATAAGAAGCAAACATTAAGACTCTTCATTTTCCAGATATTTGAATTCTAAGACATGTTAAATTTTTTAATTATTCTTTCAGGCGTAACTTGTGTTTTGGTGAAAAGAGGAATGACCCATACTGTCTTACAAAGTGGACTTGCGCAATTTGCAGCTAAGCATAAGTGAAAATATAGTTAAGACACAAATGGTACCTTCATGAAAGAAATGATGCCATAACCTCAGCTGAAATGAAATGCAGATGCACTAATCAGCATGGTGATTGCTGTGGAAATAAGGAATCTTTATCACAATAGGGAAATTTGGGGAAATCTTTATAAGAGGCAGAACGTGCACAACAAATTTGACACAATATTTTAAGATTAATATCTGCAAAGGGGTTCTAAAGGTTCGTTTTCTCATCTTTTTCTTACATCATCACTACTTTTTTTCGTTGCTCTGCGCAATCTCATTGCAGGTCATGTACTTGAATGGGCACTCGTGCAAAAAACATATTCAAAGGCCTCTTTAACCTTTCTGTTTCTGTTCTCTGACAGTATTTGCTGTTTTTGTGAGCCATATATGTTTTTCTGTTTATTTTTCGTAGAAAGCTAACAAAAATACAGCGTGTGCAATTATTTTGATCAAATTGTTGTGACATGGTTTGAAATTTTTCCCAGTAAAAAAATTTAGAAGCCAGTTCAAGTATTCACCTATGTTCAGATTTTGAGAGTGAACTCAAGGCAAAGGAAATTTCGACAAAATACTTGTAAAGATTTCCTTTCGCCATCTCCGAGACGAGACATAGTATTCTGGAGTTCTATCAAGAAGAATGATCTCTGCCTTTTGTGTCATACTTCAGTTTCCAATCGCCCCAGATTGTCACGCCATTTCGAGACAAATCAATTATTTCTTGTAGAATTCTATCCACAGCTTTGGCGATCACCCGCTTGTAATCGTCAATCTTGCGTGATGGAAGTTCAAACCATGTGACATATCCATAGTGTGAACAGTACTTGTCCATTTCCGCCTTCCTTTTGACCATTTCTTCACTTCCTGGAAAGGAACCTTCGTTTGCATTATTATTTATCGCGATCAAAACGATTGGAACCTTAAAGCCGTTTCGTTCAGAGCTAGGATTTGCTGCTTGTATGAGCTCGAAATTTTCAAGGGCGATGGAAAGCGTTGACGGCTTCTCTACATCATAGAACAGCAACGCGCCATCACATGATTTGCACAATTTGCGATTACCACAGTGAAAGCGAAATCTGTCGATGAGCGAAAGCTCCCAATACTGGATCTTCAGAGTGTAAGAATGTGAATTTGACGAATTTCTCCACACTATCTCCTCCCGATGTAACCACGGGGTACAGAATGGGATTATTTTTGAAGACATAAGATTCCTCTCTTTCCACTTTGGGTCGCCTAAGATTATTATTTTCAGATGAAGCTGATCTCCATTTTCCAGAATGTTTTTCTTGAACGATTTCAACTGTATTTCTTCGCCAAGTAAGCTCAGAACTGCTTTGTTCTCTTCTTCCGGTTTCTCGTAGGATACAACACAAGTGGTCATGGTTGAAAGCAGGTATTCGAAGTTGACAATTGTGTTTTCTTAGTTTTCAAGCTGTCGAGGTTATATTCTTCTTGTTTCTATCTTAAATTGGCAGTGTGGTAGCTAGATAGAAATGTCCTTTGAGTTTCGAAACCGGCAATGCAAGATTTCGAAGATTTCATACGCATCATGCGCATGTTAGGCGCCTGTCACGGACGGAAGGCGGCCGTAAGGATGATGCAACTACATTTAGCGCCTTTTATCAATCTTAAAGCCCTTGTACATCCCAAATTAAAAGCCAGTCTAAGAATTGTGGCAAGCGCCGCAACTCTCAAGGCTACCGTGCGCGTCACGATAAGGTGTGTGCTAAGGCTCCCCTGTGTGTTCTCATATCACAAGTTTTGTTACTGCGTCTGGCTCGTCCAAAAGCATTTCTCTCATCCTGAACCTGGCCCTTGATCTGGAAGAGGTTTTTAGAAAGTTACACGGAAGTGTGTGTGAATTCAAGAAGTTGTCTATGTTTTTAAGAAACCCGCTCTAGATGCAATTACATGAGATTTGATTACTTTTGTATATTTTATATGCTCCGTCGCGCGAAAAAAAAAAAAAAAAAAAAATCGGCGAAGAAAGAACTTGATGTTAGCCCGATGTTAGCCCGCTGTTAGCTAAGGCCTAACTCCTATAGTTCGGCGCGCCGCGTAACGTAAATTTTTTTTGCGCTGTTTTCTTTTGACTTACGCGATGTTCTTCGTTGTTTACATGTTTGGTATTGGCGTGTAGTGGTGGCGAGAGAGGTATCTTTGAAACCATTCGGCAGTAAAATAAGTTAATCGGCGGAGTAATTAAAGCGTTTACACCATCACTAGTTTTATCTTTAACAGAACGAGTCACTCGATCCTTCCCCCGTTTTTGATATGTTGGACTTCCTAGAAGAGGACGACATTCTGTAAACCAAAACTGAACCAAATTATATTTGGATACCGTCCTCATCACAAACTGATTGCATTTATAAAACTCCGCGTTTGTGAAGCCCGACCAATCCCCTTTCGTCCATATTTGATTCTGGAGTGGATTTAG